CCACACTTGAACTATGCAGCTGATGTTTTTGTTTGTCATTGTTATCCTGCTCGCATACTGTTACTGATATAAAGAGTGTCAGCCCCACAACTAAAGCAGACATCTTATCTGCACTTAATGTTAGTCTAAGAAGCCAAGTAAGATAGTGAGATAAGATAATTATAATAAAATGCAATAAACAAAAATATTCCTTAAAAAATAAAAAGAAACACCTCAGTGGTTGCTTGGACTCCTGCACCCACCACTTATCTAACTGCACTGACTTCACCTATTAAGAATACGTCTATGAACCTGACCTTGCCACCATAGCCTTATCCCATCATTAAAGAAGCTGTTCAACTTGAAATCTGTCTCAGGTTTGAATGAGATAAAATGGCTCAATAAATTAAGACTTTCACTGTTGTTCAGCTACATTCACAAGTGCAGTTACCATATTGAACATCCCAAGTTGTTCAGAAATGTCTCTTGGAGCCATAATGAACTCAATAAGAAGAGGAAGTCAGGCATTTGGATTTTACAGAATAAAATTAATACGATTTAATAATTTTTCATGATTTTTACTTATCAAACTCCTTCTGGAACATCAATATTTCAAAATACAGATCAACGTAAAGATGAAGGGAATAAAACTAACTTAAATGAAAGGGACCTCTAACAGGACTCAGGAAGGAGCAGCCATCTGCAGCAACCAGTGGAGAGATGAGAGGGGAAGAAGGAGAGAAAAGAGACAAGGATAAAATGCATAATTCATTCTAATTTAATAAAACAGTCCTTGACGATAATTCCCTTCTAACTCTGTAGTATGCATAGTTTTTGCAGGTTCTGCCGGTTCATACTTTGTGATCAGCAATGACTGATGCAGCTTACTGAGCAGTCCTATAAACATAAAGATATTAGCGGTGACTTTTTCATATCAACATTTCTTCAGAGGATGTTCTTGGTCTCATTTGCTGAGATAAGGCAGATTATTTATGAAACTATTTCAATCTGCAATAATTGGACTGCAACTTATGATGGAATAAAGTACTAATTTGAATTAAATGTTCGGTCAAATGATGCTGAGAATGTTATTAAAATTCTCTCTTCATCTGGGTTTTTCTACTTTAAGGGTGACAATGATTAACTATGAAGTGACCGTGTTCACTGGCAATCTGGCCTTGGCCTCCACTTTCAATAACGTCTACATTACACTGGTCGGGACAGATGGAGAGAGCAAACGCATTGATCTCACAAGCTGGAAACCATCTTTCTTCAGAGGGCAAGTGAGTCTGAAACCCCTCTGCAATTAAAACTATTTAAAACTACATGTGATGTGGATCTTTTGTTTTTATTTTTTTGTTTTTTCCAGGTATCTCATTTTATTGTGTCCTGCCCCAAATCCCTTGGAAAGCTGGTGATGATAAAGTTAGACAAACAGAAAAGGTTTCTCCAAGACTCTTGGTATCCTGCCAAGGTGGAAGTGAAATCCCCTACAAACAAAACCTACCACTCCCCATCTACCACTGGATTACTGACAGTGAGGTCTATTGCTTCAGAGAGGGGACAGGTTTGTGGAAATGTGCTTGTCTTATTTATACGTTTCAATGACACCCAAAAAGATAACCAATAAAGAGGTAATAAAGGTGATCAAGCAAAACTGCAATGATACTGTATTTAAAGATGATAATATACTATTTTTATCTTTTCAAATCTTTTATGAAGCTCTCAGAATCTTTGATGACAGCAACAGTCATCTTGGTGGGTGCAGTCGGCAGCAGGAACTTAAGCAGCGACAGAAAGTCTTTTGGTAAGAAATTAGAGTATTTTACATTTTGCATCTTAACATTAAGTTGCCTGAAATCAAAATTTGGTGTATATTAATGAAATATGGAAACAAATAAATATCACATAAAATCCACCAGGATTTATAAAAAATATCATGTAAAATTTAAGTGTGTTAGGTTTATATATAATCTTCATTGAGACTGCAGATACATTGGTAATTAGGCTCTCCACTCACCACTCTGTTATCGCTATCGTGCCCAGCTGGGATGTATATGCACAGGGATACCGCACTGCATTAAGGGAAACAGCATTCAGTCTCTGCCCTATGATGTCCATTTTTCCTTGACCAAGACAGCAGAGATGAAATACACTGCAGTCACAGGGTGAAGTATTCATGTCCTGTTACACATCTCTTTTTATCTCTACACATCTAATGAAATTATAAGCATCATAATAGGTAATGTTTTTCTTTTCTAGACTGGTAGAGTTGGAACTGATTGAAATGGCTGAGTTAAAGAAAAACTGGACTCACATAGATGATATTAGTCATCTTTTATGCGCTCATCGAACTCAAGTAACAGGTAACAAATCATCAGAAGTTCATTCACTCAAACATTGCTCATACTTCACGATGTTATATAATAATAATAATAATAATAATAATAATAATAATAATAATAATAATAATAATAATAATAATAATAATAATTTTATTTATGAGCGCCTTTCAAGTCACCCAAGGACACTTTACAATAGGATAAAACACTTAGTAAAACAATGGCAGAATAAGAACAATAAAATAAAAGCACAAGATGAAATTAACAAACAGTGGATTCACAGTGAATATTCAGATTTGGACAGATGAGTTTTGAGTTGGGATTTAAACTGGGGGAGAGAACCAATGTTTCTTATTTCTGGGGGCAGAGAGTTCCACAGCCTGGGAGCAGAGCAGCTGAAAGCTCTGCTTCCCATGGTGGTGAGGCGGAAGGAAGATACAGTAAGCTGGATAGAAGAAGAAGAACGAAGTGAATGGGCAGAACAGGTGGTGGTTAACAGGTCAGAAAGGTAAGGATGAGCGAGGTTATGAATGACCTTGAAGGTGAGCAGAAGAAGTTTGAAAATTATCCGGAATTTCACAGGCAGCCAGTGAAGTTCCTGAAGAACAGGGGTGATGTGCTGGTAAGAGGGGTTCTGGTGATAATGCGAGCAGCAGAGTTCTGAACCAGTTGAAGCTTATGGAGGGATTTTGGAGGAGACCATGCAAAAGAGAATTGCAGTAGTCAATACGGGAGGTAACAAGACTGTGGACAAGAATGGACGTAGACTAGGTGGAAAGAGAAGGAAGCAATCTGTTAATGTTACGTAGATGGAAGTAGGCAGAACGGGTGAGATTATTGATGTGAGATTTATAGGAAAGTGAACTGTCTAGGATGACACCAAGGCTCTTAACCTGAGTAGAATGGAAAACTGTGGAGTTATCGATGGTAAGTGAGAAATGGTTTGCCTTCAAAAGGTTGGATTTGGTGCCAATAAGGAGGATATCAGTTTTATCCTCATTGAGCTTTAGAAAATTAGAGGTACACCAGGATTTTAACTCGGATAGACACTCTGTAAGGGAAGAAGGTGGGAGGGAGGAATCAGGTTTGCAAGAGAGATATAACTGGGTGTCATCAGCAAAACAGTGAAACTGAAGATCAAATTTGCGGAAGACGGTACCTAGAGGGAGGATGTATATTATAAAGAGAAGAGGGCCTAAAACTGAGCCTTGGGGTACACCAGAGGTGACGGGAATAGACGAGAGCGGAATGATCTTAGTTGAATAAACTGGGAACGGTCGAGGAGACATGATTGAAACCAGGCGAGGGGTGTGTCAGAGATGCCGAGAGAGGAAAGTCTGCTTAGAAGGACAGAGTGAGAAATGGTGTCAAAGGCTGAGCTCAGATCTAAAAGGACGAGAATGGTGAGAAGACCAGAGTCAGCTCCGATTAGAAGATCGTTAGTGACTTTAAGTAGAGCAGTTTCGGTACTGTGACATGAGCGAAAACCAGATTGAAATCTCTCGTAGATGTTATTATTAACCAGGTGTAAATGAAGTTGAGCTGCAACCACTTTTTCGAGTATCTTAGAAATGAAGGGTAGATTGGAAATCGGACGGAGGTTGCTAAAGTTGTTAGGATCTAAAGAAGGTTTTTCAGTATAGGAGTGACTAGAGCAGTCTTCAATAAGGAGGGAACGATACCGGTGGTGTGAGAAGAGTGAATGATAGCAGAAATGAGTGGGAGTAAAGAAGAGAGGCAGGATTTCACAAGCCCTGTGGGCATGGGGTCAACATGACATGTGGCAGGCTTTGATTTACATATGAACTCGGAAATATCAGATAAATCAGGAAGATGAAAAGTGGAAAACGGCTCAAAAGGAGAAAAGGTTCTGGAGAGGGCGTAGACACAACATTTGATCTGAGTTGCTGGTGGATGTTATTGATTTTCGTAGTCCTGAACAGCATCAAGGAGTTGCAGGTTTCAGAGGAATAGAAGTGTGGTGGTAAGCGTTGGGGGGTTGAATTAGTTTGTTGAGAACTGAAAACAGAGTCCTTGTATTACCCTCATAAGAACTGATAATACCAGAGTAGAAGCTTTGTTTGGCCTTGTTGATGGAGTCTTTATACTGAAGTACGTGGTATTTATAGATTTCTGAATCAACAGTTAAACCAGATTTCTTATATTTACGCTCTATCTGCCGAGCTTTGGCCTTCAGAGCTCGGAGGTCAGAGGTAAACCAGGAGCAGAGCGAGCGAAGGAAACAGAGTGGGTTTTTACAGGAGCCAGAGAATCAAGGACAGTGCATAGACAATTATTATAATATAACAACAAATCATAAGGAGTAGAATAGAAGTCCGGAATCTGAACATTGTCCAAACTGGTAGTGAGAATGTCCATATCAATGTTCTTGATGTTGCGGAACAAGATGAGACGGGTTGGCTTGGTAGAAGAGCAGCAGAGAGTGAGGTTAAATGAAAGGAGGAAGTGGTCAGTTATGGGGATTTCAGTAGCAGAAAGATTCAAGGGAGTAAGACCAGAACAGCAGACCAAGTCCAGGGTGTGTCCTTTAGAGTGAGTGGGAAAGTCGATAAATTGTTTAAATTCAGAGCCTTCGAGACAGAAGGAAAAGTCTCTGGTGAGCAGAAGGTCATTATTGTCCATGTGAATGTTGAAATCTCCCACCAAGATCACATTTGGGGAGAGAGATGAAAGATGGGTTAGTAGATTAGCAAAGTCACTGAGGAAGACAGGGTTAGGTTTGGGGGGGCGGTATACAGTAGCTATGATGGTGGGAATGGGTCCAGTCAGCTCACATGCAAGGACCTCTAGAGAACTAAAGGTATCAACGTTAACTGGCAGGACTTTCAAGTGCTGGCGAAAAAGGATTGCGAGACCACCCCACAACCTGAGCAGCGGGGTTTAGAAAAGTAAACAAACCCCAGAGGAGCAGATTCTTTTAGCTGAGAAAAGTCATCAGGTTGTTGCCAGGTTTCAGTTAAGCAGAAAAAGTCAAACTTACGGTCAGATAGGAGGTCTTGGGTGAGAGGTCCCTTACTTGTCAATGAACGAATGTTTAGAAGACCGAAGTTGAGTGGAGTATCTTCTTTTTGCTAATCGCGGTGGGCGCCCTGGGCAGGTGGGCTAGAGATCGATGGTTAACAGCCCGATCAGGGTTCCTGCGAGTGCGGCGAGTAGCAGACCAGAATGATTTAGTTCCATTGGAGTTATGGAAAATCCTGCGGACCCGCGATGGATGTATCTCCGGCGAGGCTGGAAAGTGATGCCGGGTGGTAGTGGAGCTCCGCCGGCGACGGGACCGATAGCTGCCCGCGAAGGCGCAGGAGCTCAGCGGCTGTATAGCGGAGCAGTCCAGCCGTAGGATGGTAGACGAGCATCAGGAGAATCCAAAATAGTGCCGACCAGCTCAGGAACATCTTGGTCCACATCTTCGATTATGTGGAGGAAAAGGAGCCAAGCCGGCCGGAGCAACGAACAGGTAGGCTAAAATAGCTCAAACAGTTACGCTAGTGCAGCTCACTGAGAAGAAGACGTGAGAACACATTCAGCTGAAATAACAGAAGTTGAGGACAAGCGTTGCAAGTCAATCCCTGGCAGAGATCGATCTGGTCCTGAGTGTGAATGTTCCTGTTCATTCAAATCTAAATCCAAATAATACAATTAATCCAAATAAATCCAAATAATCGAAAAATGTACCGGTGAGTACACCGGAAATCAAATATATTCAACTACACTTAAAAACAAGAATGGTTTCTAGTCTGTTTCTTGTGTTGATTTTGGACTCTTAGTCAATGTATGTCAGTTTCCTGTTTATTATTCTAGTGTTTGAACGTTTTGATCATTTTTAGTCTTTTTCAGTTGTGCTTTTATCATACAAGTAAATCTGAGCATTAGTTCTTGTTGTATTTTTTGACTTCCTGTTCACAGTTCAGTTTAAAATGAGCTTTGAGTACAAACCTAGATTGCTCTACTGTTAAAATATTAGTTTTGAATTCCTTATTGTATAGCCTGAGAAATGAATAACCTCACAGGACACAATTACTGGGGTTCTTAATGTGCAGTCTTTTGTTTTCGGTGAAGACAGAATAATCAAAAATGGACCAGAGAAATAAAAGAGGTAAAATAAATGAAATATATACAAAGAAGAAATATGGCAGTGGCCTCTGGATTCCACAGCAATATTTCAGCTCACCTGGATACTGGAGAACACATATGATATCACAACTTATCCCCTACACACAGAAAATAGCCGCCCTAAGGTGCACGTGCAGGTCCTTTGCATCATTGATTTCTTGCCAATGATATCACCTTTTTGTAAAAAACAGTAATTCCCAAGATGCATTTTTCTAAGTTTTGGTAAAACTGCAGTAAACTCTTAAGCACTGCCCCCTGGTGACCAAAATATGCAATGACACAAATCACCAAAATGAACAAATTAAAGTGCACACTACATGCAGAAAACAGGAAACTGTGTAAACAATGAAATTAAACTACTCAATAACATTTTTGTTTTAACATAAATATAAACAAAGAACATGCATTCAAAGAAATTTTTAGAGCTCTTTTTTCACCTTAAACTGATATTTTTTTAAACTAAAGTAGAAAATATTATTATCTGTATACTTGTACACTTGGCTACATTTGTATTAAACCACAGTTTATTGTTTGAGTTTGTAATCTTTTGAGTGTTCAGCTCCCTCAGTGTGTTATTATCCGCCCCTCCTCTGCCTTCTGTTCATCCTCAGACTCTTCATGTTTATTTTATTCTGTACTTGATGTTTGGCCATCTGAATTCAGGTTTGGGTTGTTCCTTTTTTTATTTTGTTTTCATTTGTGTCCAACATCAGTTTGACTTCCTGCATATGCTTTGTGTTAGTTTTCACTTGTTATGTGTGTTTATGTGTGTGCTTGTGCATAAATAGGCCTGACCTCCCTGTAGACTTTGCTGGATCATCTGCTGTTAATCCTCTGTGCGTTTCTTTGCATGTGATTTTGAAGTTACCTCTATCTTCATCTTAACACTAGCATCCCCAGGCTTCTACCTTTCTACCTATAAAACCCGAGAGCAGTCAAATGGTGGAAGTGGAAGCTAAATTGGCTAAATTGACCGCGGAGTCATCATTTTGCGTTTCTACCTTTAAAAGCCGGAGAGCAGTCAGTCAAATGCTGGAGTCATTCATATGTATATTAGGTCGTTACCTAGGAATTCTAGGTAACGACCTAAGGTAACGACAAGGTACCACATGTGTACCTGTAGCAGTGAACACATCGCACAGTGGCCTGATTTTTTTGCATCTGTGTACTTGGATTTTAGGTCGCAAGCCACCCAAAACTTGCTCCATGCACCACTCAGCAGGCCATTTGTAAATATGTGTACAAATGGTTGGTTTTTTGTACTGTTTTTATCAATAAATGTCAGCAACAAAGGACATACACCCATGTGTGTTGATTTCTCCCTAAGATGGCAAACTGAAACACTCCAAGTTGGTGACTTTTGGAGATTTGTTTCCCTGGATGATTGAGAATGCATCAAGATGAAACACAAAAGGAAGCTCACCGCTTTTAGCAGCTCCCCCACCCCCTCAATCACTCAGTGAGTGATTGAGGGGGTGGGGAGTGGAGTGTTTCAGTGTTTCAGTTTGCCATCTTAGGGAGAAATCAACACATGTCCTTTGTATGTCCTTTGTTGCTGACATTTATTGATAAAAACAGTACAAAAAACCAACCATTTGTACACATATTTACAAATGGCCTGCTGAGTGGTGCATGGAGCATGTTCATTGGTTCATGGACCTCCCTGAACTAATGGCATTTACTGAAAATGTTGAAATGTACTCACTCACTTTTTATCATTATTTGTAAATATGTGTACAAATGGTTGGTTTTTTGTACTGTTTTCATCAATAAATGTCAGCAACAAAGGACATACACCCATGTGTGTTGATTTCTCCCTAAGATGGCAAACTGAAACACTCCAAGTTGGTGACTTTTGGAGATTTGTTTCCCTGGATGATTGAGAATGCATCAAGATGAAACACAAAAGGAAGCTCACCGCTTTTGTTGCTGCCATAAATGCCATTAGTTCAGGGAGGTCCATGAACCAATGAACATGCTCCATGCACCACTCAGCAGGCCATTTGTAAATATGTGTACAAATGGTTGGTTTTTTTGTACTGTTTTTATCAAATGTCAGCAACAAAGGACATACAAAGGACATGTGTTGATTTCTCCCTAAGATGGCAAACTGAAACACTGAAACACTCCACTCCCCCACCCCCTCAATCACTCACTGAGTGATTGAGGGGTGGGGGAGCTGCTAAAAGCGGTGAGCTTCCTTTTGTGTTTCATCTTGATGCATTCTCAATCATCCAGGGAAACAAATCTCCAAAAGTCACCAACTTGGAGTGTTTCAGTTTGCCATCTTAGGGAGAAATCAACACACATGGGTGTATGTCCTTTGTTGCTGACATTTATTGATAAAAACAGTACAAAAAACCAACCATTTGTACACATATTTACAAATGGCCTGCTGAGTGGTGCATGGAGCAAGTTTTGGGTGGCTTGCGACCTAAAATCCAAGTACACAGATGCAAAAAAAATCAGGCCACTGTGCGATGTGTTCACTGCTACAGGTACACATGTGGTACCTTGTCGTTACCTTAGGTCGTTACCTAGAATTCCTAGGTAACGACCTAATATACATATGAATGACTCCAGCATTTGACTGACTGCTCTCCGGCTTTTAAAGGTAGAAACGCAAAATGATGACTCCGCAGGGGTCTAAGGTAGAAAACCAAAATGACTGCTCTCCGGGGTCTAAGTGTTAATGCAGTGATCTGTGCAATCCATCCTTTTCTGACTGTGAACTATGGTTTCAGAGTTGGAAGTTCCAATTCTGAGCCCAACCCCTTTGTACTAAGCTGTAGACCACCCCAGTGCAACTTAGTGTTTGTTGCAGCTAGAAGTTTTTTAAGAACAGACAAAGGTTTTTGGAGATCAAAAAACTTCCTTCAGGGAAATCCCCAATTGTCCCTGTGTCATCGGAGATTTCTGGGCACTATGTTGTCTTTAGGTAGGATCAAAAAGTTGATTCTGTTCATCTGGACGTAGCGTTTTCAGTGGGAGAAATGTTTCATCACCCATCCAAGTGACTTCTTCAGGCTCAGCTGACTGCAGATTTCCACAAACTTATAAACAGTACTTTTGCACCGCGACTGTTCATTAAGTGGTCATGACAATTTGCATAGTAATGATCATGATCAAGGAACTGAGTCAGCCAATTGTTCATTCAGTGGTGCTAGTTTCAGTTATTGTGCAAATGTACTGTTTAGTTGGGGAAACCTGCAGTCAGCTGAGACTGAAGAAGTTATTTTGATGAGTGGTTAAACGTTTCTCCCACTGAAAACGCTATGAACAGATGAACAGAATCAACCTTTTGGGGATGATATAGCATGCATCAAGACTCTTTAGGTGGTGATTCCTGTATTCCAAAATCAAGTAAAAAATATTATTTTTCCAGACTTTGTTCATAAACATTGGAAGGAAGACTCTTTATTTGGCTATCAGTTTCTCAATGGTGTCAACCCCATGTTGATCCGATGCTGTAAAGCACTCCCAAAGAACTTTCCTGTCACTGGTGACATGGTCTCTCTCCATGGTCGGGGAAGTCTGGCAGACGAAATGATGGTAAGTGTTTAATTCTCTTGAACTAATGATGACTGGCTGATCTTACTGGTACATTCACTTCATAATTGTAATATTCAAACTGCATGCATGACATAAAATCATCAGTAATGCTTTCTGGAATTCCAAACAGAAGGGCAACATCTTCCTGTGTGACTACAAGCTTCTGGATGGAGTGCAACCAAACACCATCAACAAAAAGAAGCAGTATCTGATGGCTCCTCTTATTCTGCTTCAGAAAACCCCTGATAATAAGCTGATGCCAATTGCTATTCAGGTGAGTTCAACACTCAATAATACTAATGCTTGACAAAGTTGACAAAGTCAAAGGGTGCATCTTTCATCATCTTACAGTGCTGTGATTCCATTCCCCAACTCCCTGAACAGCAATCATGGCTGTAATTCAGTGGTCACGACACTTTGCATATTAATGATCAAGAAACTGACCTCGCAGCCCATCGTTAGTCAGTTGTGCTAGTTTCAGTCATTGTGCAAATGTACTGTTTATAAAGTTGGGGAAACCTGCAGTGACTGAAGAAGTCACTTGGATGAGTGATGAAATGTTTTTTCAGACCTGAATGATTTAGCATGCATCAAGAGGGCACACTTTCTTCTTAAGATGCAAAAAAACCCATAAAAGGCAAAGCAAAAAAGAACACAAATGGATTTCTAAAAAGAAACAGAACACACGGCAGAAAACTAAACAGCAGCAATGTTTGTAGCATTATTGAAATTGGGCTAGCTGGCATATAATGGTTTGCTACGTGGTGGCTACCTATAGACCTATGGTTAGAAAAATATAAACAATAGCACATTGAGGATGGAGGATGAGCATCAGCCCCCCCCCCCCCCCCCCCCCAAAAAAAAACAAAAACAAAAAAAAAAACAAAAAAAACAAAACAAAAAAAGACAATGTGAGGGTCCCCGATTTCCCTGCTGGGAGAAGATACTGAACATTGCCTAAATTTGAGTCAAGAGAACATCTGAGATTATCCATGCCCAATCCAAGGTTAGCCAGTAATATCTAACTACTACATATTTTGGATGACTCACTATGAGAAATTGAAAAATTGCTGATCCTGAGCTCTGACTCTTCTCTGAAGCATTCAGATATTTGGTGTATTGGTAAACTGTTAGCCCATTGACTGTAGTTACATCATAAGGTTTTAAAAACTGAGCTTGAACATGTGCTGCATATAAATGATGCTAATAAAAAACCAGAGAGGTTGCCAATTACCCCAATGATGAGGCTTCATTATATTAAATAAAACAAGATACAAAGTGTTACAGCACATTAAAAAGAGCAGCCTGAATGAATGCATTAAGACCTTGGGCCCAGAAGTAGGGAAACTTACAGAATCAAGGGGATAAACACCACATCTTACTGAGACACATATTTCTGAGAATATAAGCATCCGCAGGAAGTTTCTACAAAAGCATGAGCAGAATCAATCAGCTACAGTGTAACCAATACAGACTGAGGAAGCAGCGGCGTAAACATGACTCCTACCTGTGACAGCTACGGAAGCCACATGAGCAGAGACCTGGATGTATAGGGCAACAGGTAAGTAAGAGAGGGATGCTCAGATAGCAGCTATTTATAATGTGACTGCATAATTTAATTGGCCATCAAAAAAGCAATCAGCAATACATTATTAAACGAAAAATTAATTCTGCTAAACTCAAACAGTATGGGATGAGTTTAACTATCATATGGACATATGCCAAGCGTCCGGAGCGGGACACAGACAAAAACACTTAACCCTCTGAGTCAAGACCCAGGAACATGACAAAACTCACCTAAATAAGTAACCAAAATATGGTTATTCATCAAATAATGAGGATAATAGATCAAATGCAATGAATTAAAAGCATATCTCTTCCTTCTTCTTCAGCTAAAGCAGAAACCAGCAAAGGACAACCCAATCTTCCTTCCTACTGATTCTGAGTATGACTGGTTGATGGCCAAAATCTTTGTGAGAAGTGCAGATTTCAACTTCTATGAAGTCAGTGTTCACCTGCTACGCACACACCTGCTGGCTGAGGTTTTTACAGTCTCACTGCTGCGTAACCTGCCCATGGTGCATCCACTGTACAAGGTAACTGAGGCTAAGTCTAAGTCTTTTGTGCCTTGGAGTTGAATATAGCACTAACTAGTGCCAGTCAATTTCTCAAAAAGGAAAAGATGTGGAAAGTCAATGCAGCAGCACTAATGTAGTGTCCAGTTCCTCTGGCTCATCACTTCTCCATCACTCTGCTTAACAGTTAGTACAAGGTCTTTGTGCTGACAATGCACAGCACCACATTTTGTCAAATGTGGTGCTGTGCATTGTCATCAAACATCTTTACTTTAGTCTCATTTGTCCAAAGAACATTATAAAAATAACTCAAGTTGAGAAAAAAAAATCAGGAACTCTCAAACAGCCAGAGGGAGAACACAAGGCACCAGAGACAAAAGACCACCAAAATAAAATGGGAAAAAACCGAATGCATGAACAGAAACATAGACTTGAAACAAAAACAGAAAGGTAAACAAACACTGAGACGAGAGTGACTTCACAAGAATGCACAAGGAACACGGGAGGCATTATAACAGAAATATGAGATCGAATATAAACAAAACTAAGACCTGGATAACAAAACTGAGAAGTCCAGAGAAAACAAACAGGAAACACAGAGCTGTAATAAAGGACTGAACTAAAAAGAATTGCGACTATACTGAGACCAGAATCCTAAAACAAAGATAATCCAAAATACAATGCTTAAACAAAATTCAAAAACATCTCTCAAAACCTCTTGGCTTTGTGCATTTCATCAGCAGCAACTGGGTGCCACTGGCCCTCTTATTAAGAGGTAACAGTGTAGTAAGAATTTCACAAGACTGCATAGAAACCTGTTTAAAAATTCTTTTTCACATGACTGCGTTGAAATCATCAAATAAGCAAGGAAAAAGTAATTTTCTTACTAATAAATTTCTCCCTTTCTGCCAGCTTCTGATGCCTCACACTCGCTACACACTTCAGATTAACGTCTTAGCTCGGCAACTTCTAATATCTAAGACGGGAGTTTTGACTCGGGTACGAAAAGACCAACACACTGAACAGACCAAAACCTAAACAACATTTTCTTTTTTACTATTGTGTACAGTATTTGCTTCTCACTTGTATTTGTTGTATCTGTTCTCTAGTATGCAGCTTCTGGTGGAAAGGGTGTAATCACAATCCTGCAGAAATCGTTATCCTCCCTGACCTACAGCTCCCTCTGTATCCCAGATGATATTGCAGAACGTGGGCTGAAAGATGTACCAAATTTCTACTACAGGGATGATGGATTGAAGCTTTGGGAAATCATCTTCAGGTTCTCTAATTCTCCCTCTGAGTGCTTACTCGGGTCAACTTTATTTTTAGCGTTTTCCATTAGGTGGTATACCAGATACTTTGTTTAGTACCTACTCGGCTGGCGTTCCAAGCAACCTGAGTTCATCTAAAAATGTGACATCAGTAGACTGCAAAAATCAAAACTTCCATATTTGAAACCTGGAAATGAGGGAAAGGGCAACACAAAACCCAACACCGTGGTTTCCTCAGTCTGACAAAAAGAAAAGTCAGAGGGCAGTATACCATCGCCTTGACATCCTCCATTGCTTTGTTTGTGTTGAATACATATTACATAATGGAGCTTCTGCCACATTGCTCAACCCCCCCCCCCCACCCCCCCCCACCCATCCACCCACACACTGTACTCATTTGCGAAGGAAAATGACCAAGACAGAGTAGAATCAAGTCGGTAAAAGGGGAAAAGAGGTATTAGTCTAACTATCAGGTTAGGCCTAATTGGTCAGTTTGTGGAGCAGTGGGGAAAAACTCACTTTTTTTTCAAATAAAAAGCCTTATCAGGATGCTCATGTGTTAAATTTGGGTCAAACAGTTTATTACAGTATGGTGGTAAATATAGAGCTATGTCTAGAAATATATGGAGTGTAACAACATTTTTATAATATTGTCTTACTACACCACAGCAATGGATTTTAAATCAGTCCATCAAGATGTGCAGACTTTCAGCTTTAACTCTAGGGGTTAAGCACAAAGTATTGAACTAGCTGTTTATACATATTTTATACATGTTTAAACATAGTAACTTGTTGTCAGGGGCTTAAAATTAATTTGAATAACTTAATTTTAAACACAGGTGCAGATTTTAATGCTTGGGTCCATTGCTGCCAATGACTGCCTGAAGATGAAAAGCCATGGAGATCACCAAATGCTACGCTTTCTCCTTGAGATGCTCAGGCCTTTACCACAGTCATCTTTAGTTGCTTCTTGTTTGTAGGTCTGTCTACATTCACTTTTGTCTTCAGTAACTAAAAAAGCATGCGCTGTTGGCTTAGGATCAGGTGAAGGCTGTGGTTAAGGAAGAAAATCTAATTTCTTTAGCTTAAAATAGTTCTGGGTTTCTTTTGTGATTATCTATTTACACTGTGAAACTGTCTGATCAGTTTTGCAGCATTTAGCTAAATCTGAGCAGCAAGCACAGCTTTATACATTTCCCAACTCATTCTGGTACTTCTATCAGCAGTCTTATCATAAATACTAGTGCTCTGGTTCGGTTGGCACCAAGGTTATTATTGTTAACGAATACTAACGAAATAACAAAAACCAGAAGTGAAAAAACATTTTCGTTAATCGAAATAAAACTAAAAACGAGACTTTGCGAAAAAAAGGAAAACTAACTAAAACTGTAATGAGTGTTCACAAAACGAACTAAAATTAATTGAATTTATAGCAAAAATGTGTTTAGTTTTCATTGATGTGTGTGTGTCATACAATAGTCAAGGGTGAAAATGAAGTTTAGTTTCCAGGTTTTTCTCTTGCTGTGTCTCATTATGCCAGCAGGTGGCAAGTACGTTAGTCAAATCGTCTGTGTTGCTGCTCCGTCCACGCGCAGAATCATGTCAGGAAAAGTCAGGAGAAAGCGCAGAGGTCCAATTTGGGATTACTTTGAATATGACTGTGTTTTGGATAAAGCAAGTGTCTTGTAGTGGAAAGCGACAAATTATGAGTAGGGATGGGTACCGGTGTCGGTTCTGACATAAACGGTAGTAACCAGACCGAAAAGCAGCGCACATTTCGGTGCTTTATTTCGGTGCTTTTTTTTCCTGAGCTGTGATACACTTCTAGCCAATCATTTTACGTTTCCGAGGATAGTAGGTGGGCCAGTTACGTACGTTCCTTTAGAGCAGAGCTACAGATTAAAAATGCCCAAGGCGAAGCGGTCAAAAGTCTGGCTGTACTTCACAGCAAAATATGCAAACTCAGCAGCCTGCAACAAGTGCTTTAAGGTGATACTGTGATACTGTCAAAGGAGGTAACACCTCAAATCTGATGAAACACCTGGCGACGCATAGCATTTTTTTTAAAAGCCCAGAAATGTGCCGTATTTGATAGCTTGCTACGAGACCTCACACCGAGCACATCTACTGCGGGTGGGTTGCCTGTTATGCAACATCCCCCAAAAACACGAAGAGGAGAGTCCTGGCCCCTAGTCCTGCCAGTGTAGCAGAAATGATGAGGATGATGATGATGATGGCAGCAGCAGCCGTTCTTCTCTGCGTGAGTAGCTTAATGTTGTTCGTGTGTAATTTACGTTGAGTAGGCTAACCACGTTATTACATTAATGCATGTAAGGTGAACTAGCAAACATCATCATAGCTACATGCGGCTGTCCTCTTGTTTGATGGCAGATACTCCCTTCACCCTGGCCAAAAAGGCTAAAATGACCAAAGAAAAAGTGGAAAACAGTTAAACATGAGAGGTTTTTGGACAAAGTTTGTGTTTTTTCCATTGTTTAAGCACTGCTTCCAGCCAAGAGTGATGCCATATATGCCCCATAGCTGCAGAAAAGGCTAACATTGTTATCTTTTTACAAAAAACAGCTGAACATGAGAGGTTTTTGGACCAATTTTGTGTTCTCCATTCTTTAAGCACCGGTTTGAGCACCGTTTGAGCACCGGCACCGTTTAAAAAGTACCGATTTGGCACCGGTATCGGATAAAACCTAAACGATACCCATCCCTAATTATGAGGGACATTTCTATAAGGAAAAAAATCCCACAATCCTTAAACTGCACTTGAAAAGCTCGCACAAGAAGGCTAACCTAGCTTACCTTGAGAAGGTAAGGGAGCACACTCAACCCTAATCCCCAGAAACAGAATCTAACCCCAGGCCAGGCAGTGTGATGCATCCCGAGACAACAGGACGGGGATATCTACACAACTGTGTGAGCCTTCAAGAAGTTTATCAATTCACTTGAACCAAAATATGAACACCCGGTGCTGCAAGAGTTAATAGTCTCATTCGGGCTAAGATATACCTTTTATAGTTCAAATCAAATCAAATCAAATCACTTTTATTGTCACATCACATGTGCAGGTACATTGGTACAGCACATGTGAGTGAAATTCTTGTGTGCGAGCTTCACAAGCAACAGAGTTGTGCAAAATACAATAATATAAACAAGTTGCCTGGTATCAATGGTTGTTCATCTGCCCTAATTTATTTATTTATTTATTTAAAGAACCCATAGGTGGGAATGTGAGTTGTCTGTCTCTGCGTGTTAGCCCTGCGACAGACAGGCGACCTGTCCAGGGTGCAGGGTATGGTAGCTGGAATAGCAACATACCCAAGGATAAGCAGAAGAGCATGACTGATATGATGAAACTGGGATTTTGTTTCACTTAATTATTGCAAACACAGCTAAAACTATAACTGAAACTAATCAAAACTAAACTGAAACTAAGGATTAAAAAAAAACGAATCTAGCGAACAACTGGTAAAAACTAATTAAAACTGATATAAAATTGAAAATCTGAAGTCAAAACTAAATAAAATTAAAAACTAATGAAAATTGCAAAACTATTAAAACCCTGGTTGGCACCCATAAATGCCCATGCTACAACGCTGTCAATCAATCAATCAATCAATCAATCAATCAATCAATCAATCAATCAATCAATCAAGGCTTTATTCGCCACGTGCAGAGTTCAGCTGAGACAGTGTCCTTCGCCCTGTTAGGCTAAGTAAACAGTCTTCCAGCCAGCCCAGGTGGCCTTGCGTGGACTGGGAAGGAACAGTCTAAACACAGTCATTATCAGGGTGTTTTTGTTTGGCTCCAGCCTTGAGACTGCAGCTGGCGCCGAAAGGGTATCCGCATGAAGTGATGGTGTTTTTTACTTTAGTGCGAACAACTCATATGAATTTCAAAGCTGTTCTAACAGTCCAACACTGGTCTCTCAATCTCCCGTTGGAGAGCCATGAGCTTCTCTATGATGTTATCAAACTTGCTCTCCTTGATGTTGTCATTCTTGTGCTCAAAGAGCCCATTCTGAGAACTCACGACCACAGTGAGCTTCTTCAAGATGTAATCCAGTTTGCACTCAGAGATCTTATTGTGAGTATTCACGGCAGCCGTAAGCTTCTCCAAGATCTTATCCATGCTGCACTCAATGAGCCCATTTTGAGAAACTCACACCTCTTCCCATCGTTTCAATCCCAGCCTGCAGCCTTGTGGGGGTTTGAACAACCGGTTCCGCTTTCTTAATTCTTTGATAAGTCAGGGCCAAACCAGCTCCGATCAGCAAGAACCCTGTTATCATGGTTCCGAATAGGTAGATATCTTCAGCACTCAGGCGCACCCAAGCCCAAACTTCTCATTGAGAAAGGGGTGTCAATTGCATTTAGGGACCAGTTGATCAAATCCATGATTCCACTTTTAGGTTTTAGAGAACAGACTGTGAGAGAGTGTTCCAGGGAAAAGTAATACAAAAAACACGAGACTAGACAAGGACATAAGAGGCTAAGCAGGGAAGCTAAGGGAGAGGAGGAGAGGAGAAAAGTGCGACCGCCTTCGTCAAGAGCAAGAGCAGAAAATGTTTGGCAGATGCTTTGGATCAAGAACCGTTCCATTCCTTCTCTGAAGGCCATCTTGTAGTCTAATGCCCTGCTTTCTGATCACCAGCCTCTTCCTTGGCCACTGCATGGAGTATGCCTCAACAGCTGGTTCCTGGTTTTTCCTGCCTTGTTGTTGCTGGCCACCATGATAAACTGCCCCACTCCACCCACTGGCTTTTAGACCACCTGTGAAGCCTCTGCAACTAGCCATTGCCAAACCTCTGGAGGGGTCCAGTCTCCTTGACCGTCACTAGCCCCCTATCAAGCCACAGGAGGGGTTCCATCTTCTCTTCTGGTCTCTTGTCTCGAGGCCATCCACAAGGACTGTGTCTATTATTGCAAGCCTCTAGTGTGGCTTCCCCACCTTAGCTGGTCTCCTTCTCAACCTCCAGAGAGGTTCTCCTTTGCTACTCCTCCTTAAGGCCAGTCCCCAGAACTGTCTCTCACATTATTCCTCCTCCAGACCGTCCATTTGGGACTGCATTCAGACTCAATCTCCCTTTGTGTTTTTTATTTGTGGCTGTGTAACTGGATGTAGAGCAACATTTTGGAAAAAAAAGAAAAAATAGAACTCAAATCTATTTGTTGTGGTTGAGAATGGGTTCACTGGCATGCATTAAAAAATCCCTCAGGAGATTCTGATACACTTTTTATTACATTTTTTAAATCAAGAAGAAGATAGATGAGCAAGTATGGTTATTGAAGTTATAATTAGAAAACTAATTTCTTTCTATCCTTCTAGAGAAGTGGTTCTTAACCTTGTTGGAGGTATCAAACCCCACCAGTTTTGTATGTGCATTCACCGAAAATAAAATCTGATTTTTTTTTTCAAATTCAAGACATAGATGTGTTTTTTTACTGGTGCACACAATGATCCGTGCATGAACATCACCTTGTTCAAAGAACAATACCAACACAATGAACAAACTTACAACAAATTACATACCTGCAAATCAGTGTGACTTCTGCTGTTGCCTTTGAGAGACCAGTTCAGATATGCGTGGCTTTACCTTGGCAAGTGCCAGTCTCATGTCATTTTCACAGCAAAGTCTGTTCCTTTTCTTTGTTTTTATGTCCAGCATCCTCGAAAAGGATTGCTCGCAAAGATATGTTGTAACAAATGGCATAAAAAAATCCAGGGCTTACTTAGCAATAACTGGATACTTGTCCATTTGTCGACACCAAAACTTTGAGAGCGTTGTTGTTCTGAAGAGTTGCTGTTGAACCTGGCTCTGCTGAAATTTAATGATTTCGTCAAGGTATTTATCATTGACATCTGCTGTCTAATCAGCAAAAGTGAATGGCTGTCTCACCCATGCTGGATATGACTCTCTCGTAGGAAAATATCTGTCGAGAGACATTGCAAGCTCATCTAAGTGCGTTGCAATAGTTTGCTTCAGTTCCGTGAATACAGAAATATCTCCGATTCCAGACACATCTTCGATCTTACTTACACAGTTGTCCAGAAGGGGGAAGTTTGCGAAGTTGTTGTTCTCTGTTCGTCGTTTCCATAACGGTAGCTTTTTTCGAAAAGCTAATCCGGCTTAGATTAGCAACGTCTGTACTCTCATCGAGTTGATGGCTGAATTTTGCTGGGCTTGAAATCAGATCTGCGAATACTTGAGCCAAGATGTCTTTACTCATGTCTTCTATTCTGTTGCTGATGGTGTCATTTGAAAGAGGAATTTGGAATCATTTACCTTCGGCCGCTGTTCAGAGTATCAGATTCGACATCTTTAATGCAGCTGGTTTCACGAGTGTTTCACCAATGGTGTGTGGCTTGCCCTGCTTTGCGATCAGGTAAGCAACTTCGTACGATGCTGTGAGGATCGGTTTGTTAACAGATACAAAATTCAAGAGCAGGCAGAGTGGGCCTTTCATCGAATCTGTCTCTCTTCATCCTTGAATTCAGCAAGTGTTGTGTTCTTGTATTCAATGTCTCCTTGCAGCTTCAAGAAGTGTTCCTTTAGTTTTGCTGGTGCGAGACTAGAGTTGTTCAACTTGGCGTTGCAAATCATGCAGAGAGGACGCTCACTCCCATCACGTTCCGTGATACATGTGAATCCATATTGTACATATTCGTCCAACCACTTTCTTCTTTTTCCCGACATAGTTAGTATGGATTAAAATATTAACAAAAAAATCACACGAACTACTACCACGACAGTCACACGTTGACTACTGCGCGCTAAATTCCGCCAAGCAGTGTAGCATGATCATCTGCAGCCAGTGATGGCCAAAAGGGGCCGTGTCATCACAAATTTACACGATAATTCGGGTGTGTCCGGACCCCGCGGTGGAGGCTCTGCCGAAGCCCTGAGACCGACTCACCGAACCCCTATGGTTCGATCGAACCCAGGTTAAGAACCACTGTTCTAGAGTTAAAGGAGTTTGATAAACAGGAATAGCCAGGCTGTTTTTCAGGCCTGTGGCAGCACCAAAACAACTGCTCCAAAATAGATGACAATTAAATCATTGGAGTCTAAAACGCCCTGAGTAACCTTTTCAGACCTCCAAAAAATAGTTAGAGTCCTTTCACACTACCATTGATCAATGGCAATGTCACTTTACTTCTTAATGATCATGAAAGTGACCTGACAGCCCCCAACACATGTGATAGTCAGTGGTACAAGTTTCGGTCACTATGCACAATTATTGTTTGGATGAGTGACAGAGCGATTCTCCCACTAAAAACGTCACAAGAAGATGATCAGAATCAGCTTCACGAGGGTTCTTATAAGACTTTTGTTTTTAGGTTAAGGTTAGGGTCTAGTAGACTTGAGGTACTCCCATGGCTTGGTTTTCTTGAAAACAACCTTAAAAAATTCATACCCTGCCTCCTTTACTGTCATCCATTACTATGTAGAAAATAAAAGTTTTCATATAAAAAAGATCCAAAGGTTGGGGAAAAAATAGCACATTTTATACACATTAACAAATTTTATGGTCTAGTGTGTTTAAGAAATCTGTATTTAAATTGGGATTGTGCTTCATTGCTTATGGCTCTATATTTCAAAGGTTTGTGAAAGAAATTCTCACCTCCTACTACAAGACTGATGCTGAAGTCCAGAAAGACTCTGAACTGCAGAAGTGGATTCAGGACATTTATGAACATGGATTCCTTTCACAAGCAAGCACAGGTGAGCTTTATTTTGGACTTACTCTGCTCATTTAAAGCTCTGTGATTTTAGATTTTAACTCTACTAGAATTTAAATGCCTGATTTGCAGTTCAAATATATAGATCCAAGTCGTTTGGTCCATGATCTATTCGAGTTCACAGGTTATTGTAATACCTACCAAAAAAATAACATCAAAGTACAGAAGCAAAGTTTAGCTTTTTTTCTGTCATTCACTGGCTATAATGCACAAACTAATGAGAAATAAAATCCTGTAAATCAATTTAGGACAACTGGTTCTCATTCACCAACTATTATTGACCACTAAGATATACTTTGTCAATGGTGTGGCCCAAGTTTTTGACCAGCTCTAAACTATCTTACATTTTTATACCATAACTAAACTTAATGATGGCATTTATGTTTCAGTGGTAAAGGGGTGCAAGAATGCATTCATTTTCTGAACATCACAGTCCAAACTAGAACTTTTATCAGTACAGATTTTAGTGAATGTGAAAAACTGCCTGTAAAAATGACAAGAAGATGACCTTGACATTGAGCAGAATTTGGGTGAAAACCCAACGTGATTTACGGTCCCACAAATGTGTCCGTCTGCGTACATGTTTCAGTTTAGAAACCACTGCAAATAAGCTCCCATGCAGTCAACCAAAATCCCATAAGCAGTTTGCTGAGCATGAATGGCCAAGGTCAAATTCTGATTGGTTCACAAGGGGCTGGGAAACAGAAGGGGGAGACAGCAGAAATGTAGAAGAAAAATCAAAGACTAAAAATATAGAATGAACAATACAGACACTGGCTGTGGTGGAAACATTTTTTTTAACATTTTGATCCACTTCAGCATTTTGTATGTCATAACTTCACTTGTCTCTTCCACTGGCTAAAAGATCAACAACAGCAAAATCAGGAGTACCCTACTTCCTTGAAAACAACAGGTAGATGCAGGTAGATGGGCAGTCTGTTACTGCCTGTGGATTACCTTTGTGCTACTCCCACTTTAGCATTAAAAAAAGTGTAAGTAGTGTTTAGTTTAGTAGTGATCCCTACTATTGGACACTTTACCCCATCCTAAAAAATGTGTGAATCTGAGCATTTAGAGCAGTTTAAAGTTTTTGGCATATTTGGACTACCTATATATTATATACACTGACCAAAGCATGATGTGAGACTTTATTATGATAATAGAACTTTATGTGCACCTACAATATTGTAATTTTGATACAACTTTACTTTGGTTTCCCCAGTGTATTGAAGTAATGCCATTTCTTTTTGTTCTGATCATCAGGAATTCCACAGAAATTCAGCACTGTGGATGAGATGGTCAAGTTCGTCACCATGGTGATCTTCACTTGCTCTGCCCAGCACTCAGCTGTCAACTCTGGGCAGGTGAAACCTTCTAACATCATTTAATTTCATTTATTTAGGTTGTAATAGTTTAAGGCCATGCAAGAACCTTCAAGACCTTAAAGTGGTAAGATTAACCACCTTACAATATATCAGAAATAAACTACAATCACTTTACAAATTTCAATTGCTAAGCCCCAAAAGGTTGATTCTGTTCATCTGGACGTAAAGTTTTCAGTGGAGAAACGTCACTACTCCAAGTGACTTCAGTCTCAGCTACCTGAACACATCCTGGACAGGGAGGAACACAGGGAGTCAAGGAGGCCATTTACACAAGAAGGGAAAAAACATCTCTGAATCGAGAAGGAGGCCTAAGGGTACATCTTTCACCGCCTTACAATGCTGTGATTGAAGCCATTCCCCAACTCTCATTAAATAGTGCTCATGGCCATTGATCAATGGTCTTAGATCAGTGGGCTTTGAAAAGTTGCCTTTGATCAAAGGTCATGACAGTTTGCATATTCATGATAAACGAACTGACCTCACATCCCTTTCAGTTGCACTAGTGTCAGTAATTGCGTAAAGGTTGGGGAAACCTGCAGTCAGCTGAGACTGAAGAAGTCACTTGGATGAGTGACGAAATGTTTCTTCCACTGAAAATGCTACATCTAGATGAACAGAATCAACCTCAATTTACTTACCTGGATGATATAGCATTATTCAAGACATTAAAGGCAAAGGAGCATTGTTTAGTTAGCAAAATAAATTATTGCCAACTCCATGAATACTTTTCTCTCAATTTGGGAAAACACTTCAGTTAACAAGTGTTCCTTTGTTAGTGGCAGGATAATTTATAAAAGGTAAGTATACTTAAGTCCTAAGAGAATATTAATTTTAGAGTCTGGCTTGACTGATGATCTCAGGTCCATCTTGCTTTTCACATTAAATTTTTAGTGATGGCTGAAGCTCAGGTGGTAGAGCAGGCTCCGTACTAGTTGGAATTTTGGTGGTTCAAACCCTGTCGAGTTCGAGTTTGTATGCCAAATATCCTTGGGCAAGATGCTAACCCTAAGTAACTCTATGATGCATCCAGTGGAGTGTGAATGTTAGAAAGCACTTATGGAGACATAGGAAAATGTGCTTTGAGTCTCCAGGAGAGTAGCAAGTGCTACATAAGAACCAGTGCCCACTCACATCCTGGGCCATTTGACCTAAGGCTATGTCCACACGAATGCGTTTTCAAACGAAAATGCATCGTTTTCCAGACTGAGCCGGCATTTTCCTCAAGGAAAAACACAGTGTTTTGGAAATGCTCTCGAAAATGGATACATTTCAAACTGGAGGTGTCCTGTCGCAGTGTGGGCGCTGGAAAACGCAGACTTTCTAAAACGATGACGCATTTTAGTCATGTGATGCAGTCATGTGACCAATTGAACAAAGGGCATTATACAGCAGTTGTTTTGATTGCTCTCAATTTTAACAGCCCTATTAAAGATTAATATCAGTATTTACATGCTCCAGATAGCTTTTCTTCAAATTGTTTAATTCTCACTCGCTTTTGTGCTTGAATATAGGCGTTTTTGGCCATTTCAATGTGGATGCACAACTCTTTGAAAACTACTGAAAATGGTAGTGTGGACACAGAGCGTTTGCTATTTGTGGAAGGAAATCGTAACCTAGGACAAGCTGATGGCATAAAATGTAAGCACAACTCCTCCGGTTTCATATGCAAAAAAAAAATTTTGCGGTAGCTTACGTGTTTCCAGTTCTACAGGGATTTAAAAATAGTTAAGCAAAATGGAGCGTGCCCACTCTGACCAATTTAAGATGGTTAAAGTGTCTGGGAAGGAATCTCAAAATTGGATTATAGATGGCAGACAGTTGGTGTCATAAACCACCACCTCTGTTCAAGGATGATCATCCACAGTGGACAAAGATGAATTCTTTCATTACTCATCTGTCTTCTCTGTCCAAAATGCGAACATTGGCATCCTCAAAAGAGTGACCTTTGTTGTTCAGATGCAGAGGAACATCTTGAACGTCTTGCCTGTCGACGTGACTCTTCTATGTTGTCCCATGTGTTTATGAAGTGGCTGTAGAGATCAAAAGAGTTAGGGTTGATGGTATTCACATTTTGGACAGAGAAGACAGAGATGGTTTGAAAGAGGAGTGAAAGAAGCCATCAATGTCCACTGAATGACCAATAAACAGGGGTGGTGTTGGCTACCTACAATGCAATCTTGAGATCCCTTTCTAGTCCAGTCACCTTCATTCAAGCTCTTAAAGATCTCTTCATCAAATATTTCTAGTTTTTGGGTCAGCAATTTAAGGATGCACTCTTTTCCTTCATGTTTGTCCTTAATCAAGTTAGAGCCTAATGTGTATTACACCCCTTGACTCTCCAGGCTTGACCAAACACCAATATCACACTGCTATGTGCTTCAGAGCCTATTAATGACCTTTCCTTTACTCCTTCAATGCAGTACGACTTTGGGGCCTGGATGCCCAATAGTCCTGTCACCTTGCAGCTTCCCCCACCAACTAAAAAGGGGAAAGCAAGTGAAAAAAGCATGATAGATACATTCCCCAATATTCAAACAACAGTTCATGGCATGGCCGTCATGTGGCTACTCAGCAAGCAGTCCTCTGACTCTGTAAGTGTTCAAGTTATGTAATGTACATCAAAATGTCAAATTCAAAAGTCATACAACTATGCATTTTGAGTGGAAGAAGCAAAACATGCCAGTGATCTCATATCTATCTCATCAGATCTTTCTTGGCCAGTACCCAGAGGAGCATTTCACTGAGGAGGTTCCCTGCCAAAAAATAAAGGATTTCCAAGTAGAGCTCAAAAGGCTGAGTGCAGAGATCAAAGCCAGAAACTCAGTGTTGGACCTGCCATACACATACTTGGATCCTGACGTGACTGAAAACAGTGTGTCCATTTGAATATTAGAAGGCAGCTTCTCTTCCTTTAGTTCAGTAACAAAAACAGAAAAGAAAGTGAAGTTTGAGCTCTGCCTGAAACTCATTCTATTGATTTAACTTTAGTTTACCAGCAATTTCTAAAATATTCTTCTGAGTTAATACAATGACCAGGTTTTATGTTTCAGGTTTTATGTTTCATAATTAGAAAATATATCAGTGGAAAGAGTGTTTCTGATTTATAATGATTTCTACTTTTTTAATCATAATTTTAAAGCTGTTTCTCTCTTTGATAATGAAAAGGTAAATACGTAGATAGAAAGCTGCTAGGGTGAGAAGGGTTTTAAGAAATAAGGTCTCCTTTGCACTTCTCTGGTTTTTAATTCTCAATTTTGTTTCAATACAAGCTTTATATAATCAATATTTTTGTCTTATTGCAGTGTATTGCATGAATCCATAAAAAGTGTACCTACTTTGAAATAGGAAAATTAATAGCTATCTATATCATTTTTAGAGATCATAGAGATTTAACACAGATATAGACAGACATGAATGCATAACTTTATGATGTTTCATTTAAAATTCTTAGAAATTTCTGCCTGTGAATACATGATTTAAAGGGTGAAGAAGGAGCTTACTATGTTATTTTTCTGTGTGAACTATACTTAGGTCCTGTTTATATCAACTGATTTTTAAGCTTGCCTGACATAAATGATGATAATTTGATCTCTTTCTGAACTGTTTTCTGTATGTAAAAGATGGAATATAAACACTGACCCAGTCAAAATCCTCGTTTTATTGCAGATTGCTTTTGTCATATTTAGATGAAGGCGTGGAGTCCTAAGATATTAGTAAATACTAGCAGTAAGGACGAAATTAATAAGAATTTAGCGATTCTGATTCCATTATTGATATCATTTATCGACTGGATTCCTTATTGATTCTCACTGACTCCACTTTGAGAGTCACCACCACCACTAAGCAGAATATCAAAGACATTACTTACATTCATGCAAATTAATTCTGTGTGGTCAAATATTTGTGCATGTTGGAGGTATGTCCCTCTTTGTTGCGATCAGTGTTGGGACATTACTCAGTAAAGTAAAGTAAAAAGGTTCCTACACAAAACATTTTTCTTAAAAGTAATGCACTTAATTACACCCAGGAGAAAGACATTCATTATACTACCTGTTACATTACTTTCATATTGCTTAAAAAAAACAAAAAACCTGAACCACACTCATAATTACTATTTGACAGTATATACCTGAGGCTCCAGCCCCACACAACAACACAAATCCCTATAATAATGAGGACACACATGATTTTTCTCTTAGTACTTAGGTATGAAAACAAAGCCGACAACACTGTATTCAACACTGTATTAACTGTATTCTAGATATAAAATGGCAGAAAACTTTTTGCAGCTTAACCAGGGCAAAAACTGAAATTTTAATCATCGGTCCTGAGGCTCAGAAAGAGAAACTCTTGTCTAAATTACAGGCATTTTCACTATGTCCTTCACTACAAGTGAAAATGCCTGGGTGTTATTTTCGACTCTGAGCTTGGTTTTATCCCACATATTAAACATGTAACCAAATTTGGATTTTATCATCTAAAAAATATAGCCAGAGTCCACCCTATTCTCTCTCGGGCCAACACGGAGATGCTGATGCATGCTTTTATTACCAGTCGCATTGATTACTGTAATGCCCTGCTCTCTGGTCTTCCCAAAAAGAATATTTCACCTTTACAACTTTTACAAAACAAAATAATTCTGGGTTCTTGGCTAACTTAGCATTAGCAAGTGGAGGCGAGAAGCCAAAGTTGTGTTAACAGTATACTGCAGTTGTTTCTGTCCTGGAGCAGTCTCCACTTCATACTCTCATCCTTTTGTGCAATAAAAATAAAAGTATTGTCCATATCCACAAGCTAAAATATCCAAAGGCCACACAGGTTTGTTTGTTTGTTTGTTTGTTTGTTTGTTTGTTTGCTTGCTTGCTTGCTTGTTTGCTTGTTTGTTTGTTTGTTTGTTTGTTTGTTTGTTTAAACATGTCCTGCCAGTTGTAACAGGCAAAATTATGGTCTGAATGTTTTGTTGTGCCAGACATATTTGGTTTCCCTAGAGGAGCACCGTATACTTTCTGTAGACAAATATACAATTTTGCTGTGTGTGTGTGTGTGTGTGTGTGTGAGAGAGAGAGAGAGAGAGAGCGTTACAGACAGAGAGAGAGAGAGGATGTGTGTGAGTGTTAGTAGCAGAATGTACTAAAGGAGACGCCGGCCGCCCACAGCAACCAAGAGAGCTGAATAGCCACTACAATATTCTCCTGAACGATAGGTGTTGCCACTCAGAGAGTACCACCACATAAGCGCTGATATAGCAGGAGAAGAATCTTTTTTTCCTCTTTTCATCTCCCTTTGTATATTTTAATATTTCTCAGCTTCTGGAATGTCATTAAAATGGCTATAAAAACTGACATGATCACACCATAGGATGTGACATCATCTTCGCCATGCTGTGCTGTCCAACAGGGGCTCAGAGGTGAGAAATAAAACCCTACAAGGCTGCCACCTGAACTGTGTAGCATCAGTTTCACCCGCGATAGCTCTGGCAAAACAATCACTCTATAATAGAAAATGGCAACCAGAACCCAGGCCCCAGGAAATCTCTGGGAGAAAAGTCCCACCCCTAGCTGCTCTTTTCCAGAGAGGACAATGCAGGCAAGACAGCAGATCTGAGAACAGACCGCTGCAGGTTGTAAACTCTTAATTTTAAGTGTGGCCAGAATGCCAAAAGGCATCAACACCAGCTGCCACTGGAGACAGAGTGCTAAAATAAAATAGTCCTATTATTCTGCATTTAATGATTGCAACTGTAGGAATGATGTTTCCTACACAGCAGCTGGAATTAAGAGGCGGTTACACTATAAACCAAAGTGTGGGTAACCTACAATAAGGTGCAGACATGCAGCTTACCTGTAGCTGTTGTGAAACACAATCAAACCACCTGAGTTTACCACCACAAACTACTGACAGCTAACATCATCCTCCAGAGAAGGAGAGAGAAGAATCAAAGCAGAGAGCACAACCCACCCAACCACACTTATAATTCAGTGTAATTCATTTCAATGAAACCTCAGCAGAGGGTTGCTGAGCTAATGAACAATCTTTAGGGTGGATTCACTTGATTTGTGTGTGTTGCAGAATGTGGCATGGTGGAAAATTGAGAAAATCCCCCACTAAGCATTGGGTTGGTATTATTTTTCATTTTAATAATCGCATGCTGTGTTTTTGTGTGAGCTGTGAGGTGTGGGCCACAACCATGTGGAGTGGAGATTCTACTCTAGTCCAGCTGCCAGCTCTTTGGAGTGCACTGTTACAGCATGGAAGCCAGTTGACATGAGACATGAGAAAAGTGCACATTTCAAAGGAAATTATTTTTAACCTAACCTGGAAGTTTTTGCTTTTAAAATAATCAAATGACACTGGAGGGAGGACTCGTTTTAATCAGGATTCCTGTGGATTTGCTGTGATAAAATTACTGGAGTGGAGATGCTCGGTGTGCTGAGTTCATGGAGGAATAGCCTACTCTGGAATTAAAAAGGAACCAATGAGAGGAAGTTGGTAAAGACTTCAGCTCTCAAACTTCTGAAGTTTGAGAGCTGAAGTCCCAGGATCTGGTGTGGAAACCTACTCCTTAATAACAGAAGCCCTGATAAGGTGGATGGAAAGCCTTTCTCAGAAAAATGCAAGATTGATATGTGTTTGGCTGCTCTTTCCCTTGACGTACCACTTTTTCCTGTGTGTAGCCAGTCTAACATTTCTAACCATGGCAGCTTTGGGCCTTTGATTGCAGTCCAGAACTTTGTCTTCAGCCACTAGTCTGCTTTAGAGGAAAAATAAACCTTGCGTTACTCCATTTTCAGTGTGTGTGGTGGTTTCCTACTGGTCACTATTAGAACTTAACACATTCTTGTAAGGAGGCTGTGGCGGAGGTGTGGCCCTGGGCGCGGCTGCAGGGAAGGAGTGGTGCAGTGAGCTCAACAGGGTGGTGCTGGAGAAGCAGGTGAGAACACAGTTGATGGAGTTTGGGCTGATGACGGTTTCCTTCTCCTTTTTTGTGAGACAGGAGAGGAGCGGAGGGGAAGTGGGGATCAGCTGAGACGGGAGCTGTCCAGACGGTGGACTGTCAAAACGAATAAAAACTCAGAATAAACGTTGCATCTGGCAGTAACAAACTGTGTTTGTGTGTGTGTGTGTGTGTGTGTGTACGTGGGTGAAGTGCATCTCACAGAGGCCATTTGTGGCATACATAACATGTGTTCATGCATCATTACAATGACAACAAATCTTTTGATCTTGCTTGCTTACTATGCTTAAAACTGATTCTCAGTCTGGGACTTTATTTATTGTAAACATCACTCTGAGGGGAAAAAATGTGCTGGACTGAATCTCTTTGTGAATTCAGAGTTTAAAAAGCCCCTGGCTGGGCCTTGGGGGCTTTGGTCTTGGTTGGTGTGTTGCCGGGGTTGTAGGCGGGTGGGTGTATGGGGGCCCAGCCCTGGCGCAGGGTGCCGCCGGTGCGTCGAGCCACCTGGGGGCTCTTCAACTGGTGAGGGAGGTTGTCACATCTTGCAGGAGCTTTCCTCTCTTCAGGAACTCTCTCTGCAGGAGGGGGAGATACAGGAGAGGTGGAGGAAGATCTCAGCCTGGGCGTCTATTGTCTTATGTAGTCTGGAAGATGAGTGGATGATGGGGTGGGTGCAGTTTTCTCTGTGGTGGGGTTGGGTGGACTGTCCCGGGCTCTGTGGGGCCGGGAGGCGCTGCTGCACTGGGCCCAGGCCATCTGGCGGGTCGCGGAGTATGGGGTGCCTACTGGGGTCAGTGGGGAGATGGCCCCAGGGAGGGGTCACTTGCCCCTCCCTTCCTTCCCTCCCCATCTCCAGCTGCCTCCATCTTCCCGCTCCACCACAACCACCCACACATGCAGGGCCTTGGAGTAAAGGTGTGTCACCAGGGTGCAGAGGAGGCTACCCCCCCCCTCTGTCCCCTTCAGGCTGCCTCTGCCTCAATTTATCCCACAACTTAGACATCCACATTACTCACACTCTCATTACACATACATATAGGATCTTGGGGGTGGGCACGAAACACGGAATCCAAATTACCATCAAGGTGTACACCCTCACCCCTGGCGTCGTTGCCCACCTCTCAATTTTAAATACACGTAGATTGAGGGCTAGCAGGAGGGACCATGCGCTTATCTGCTGCTATCTGGCAGGTAGCTCCATGCCCTCCTGGGTTTTAAATGCACCCCCCCCCCCCCCCCCCCCCCCCCCCCGGCTTCTGCTCTGCGGCTGCTGAGTGACCCCTCATCTGGGACTCTCCTCAGCTCTTTCTAGGACAGTGGCGCGGCTACTTTACCAAATTACATGAAGGAACCTTTTGAAAAAAACAAGCGCGTCCATGCTCACAGGTGTACACACGGGTGATCACACACACAAACTACACCCTTTTTGGCTCCTACCTTAAAGCACACTGTGTGCTGTCGATATTACGTGCTGCACAATAATGTTTAAGACTTAGTATTTACTGTCATATTCTCATATATCATTGTGATGTTGTTTATTCTATTACTCTCGTTTTCTTCTGCTTGTTTTC